AAGGCATGGAGTCTTTCTTAATGGATGATTCTCATAAGAATTGTAAGAAGGCTCTGAATTTAAAAAAAAAAAAAAAAAAAAAAGCATTCTCTGGAAATGTCCACTTATATGAGGCACAGACTATATAGTGAAACCTAATTCAAAATGAGATTTATTTAAGCTCCAGTTACTGTCAAGTATTAAGACATGTTTTCACGTGGCTAGATATAGACTATCCTTGTGTGGAGTTAAAACTGAGTAGATTAAAAATATATTGTATATATAATGGAATGTGTTCATATGAGTATAATGTAGATGATTCCTATCAATAATGAATTTTAAGGGCCTTATATCATGCCACCCAGAGGAAAGTATTCTCACCTTCAGGCAAAATACGAGTTAGCATTCCATTTCTTGCAAAATTCTATTAAAAACTCGGCTGAATTATAGACAGCTGAATTCCACAGCTGGTGGGAATGTAGAAAAGCGCAAGAAAAGAAGCAAGTATAGCAACAAATCAAGAAACCAAAATGTTTATATATGCACTTGTGCAAGTTGCTCTGACTTTTCATAATTTAAGTCTCTGACTATTAATGTATCAAAATTAGTTGAACCCTGATTCTGACTTGGCAAAACTGCAGTGGGCTCAAGAATTTGTTTGTTTCAAAACTGACCATTTGCAAGAGGTGAGGTTAAACTAAAACTAGTTGATTGAATGCATGGCCCTCTTTCAAAACTCTCATCTACTCAGGTACTTATTGGCCCTCATTGTAGCACCTGAGGTAACTTTTAAGACACAATAGGTGATGGAACTAACATTTGTCACTTAAAGGTATTTGCTCATTTTCTCTGCAAGGGAAGGTCTTGTGAGGTTTTTCAAATTATTTGTGTCTGCTGTTTCAAAAGAAAAATAAAATGAGAATGGATTCCTTTTGTACTTATCAATGGGAAATCTTCCATAGAGCTACTAATGCTATTTTTATCACATCCTAGGCAAAGCAAAGGTCTTTCATTAACATTGAATTGAGTGAGGTTTAAGCTAGTTCTTGTATGTGCTAGCTTTTGTTCCATACCCCAAAATTTCCATCACATGCAAAGATGACCTTAAATCCTGCCATGGATAGCTCCATTTATTCAAAGAATATTATTTTCAACTATGGCATTCTTCATGGAGTTTGATCTTTCTCACATATGGGCTTAGGACTATTGAGCATCTTGAAGAGGAGGACAGATCTGAAATTCAACTTTTATATTCTTTTCTATAGACTATAATATATTATATTATCTCATAGATTCTAAGGGATGCCAGTGCAGAGAATAGAAGAGAGGAAATTTTATATTCTCAAGATGAACTATGTAGCTGAAATGTGTTACTGTGTTCTCTGCAAGTTGGTTTTCCTAAGGGATGATAGCTTCATACCCAAATATTGCATTTTCAGTAGTTGCTCTAGGAACAGATAAAAAATGTCTGAAAATAAGTAGTGAATTGCCTGGATGCATTACAATCATCTGGTCAATTAAAAAAGGTAGGAATTATTATTATACTCCTAGAAGGTCCAATTTAGGAGCCCTTACAAACTGCAGACGGAATTGAACAGTTACAAGAACATCTTCAGCCAAAGAAGACTGCACTGTGAGAGCAAGCTGCTCAAAGCTTTTCTCTCTGTCAGCTGGCATGATCTCTGTCTTAGTTGAGTATAACTTCAGCCAGCTGTTCTTCATCTATGTGCTCATTTCATCTAAGCACAGGACTTGCTTGGGGAACAGATAAAATGTTGTATTCGATGAAAACTGATGAGTTGTTGAATAGGACTACAGGGAATGGATTCACAGGCAGGAATGACTCATTTTAACGCATTTTCCTTAACTTGGCAACTTATTTTGGTTGGTATCTCAATACCAGCAGTCACACTTTGTTGCATGTTGCAAAGTCCTAAAAGCTGAGAATGATGGATGGAAAACAGACGTTCAACAACATGAGATCCAGTTGCAGAACCATTAATACTGTTTCCTTGTATGTCAGGCAGAATTGAGATTATGCTGGGTCGAGCTTCTGCTTAACGAAAGTATATATGGCTTTTGGTTGGATTCTTTGAGCTGGCTTGAAATTGAAAGGCATACTTAGTGCTAACAAGGGGTCAGAGTGCACTGTGTCAATATTCTCATACGCTACCATTCTAATCGTTGTCTTAAAAAGAGATGCAACTGTTTCAAGTTTGAAAAAAGGAAAAGGAAGATGCCTTCACTGAAGGAGTATTTTCCTTAAAAAAGAAATTAAGCTAATAAATATGTGTTTCCTGGGAAGACTTTAAGATGGTTATTACCATGCTTTTTCTGTAGATTGAATCACATTCTATTTTCTGCTGCGAAAGTACCGTAAAGTGATTGTAAAACATTCTAAAAGGGTACCTCTGGTATAAGGAAATGCTTCAATAATGTAAAAATAGTTGTATACCACTGTCCCCTCTACTTAGCATTGAACCAGCTTGGAGAGGGCCATACAGGAGCAGAACAAGAATGTAACAACCCACTATTCACAACAAGCAAAATGGTCCCTAAGAGAATCCTGAAGTTGAAGTTAAATATTTCAGTGTTTTCCCTAATTCATGCCAGACAGCAGTTCATGCTGTGTTAGGGTAATGTTGGCAGATCTTTCTTCCCCCCCTCCCTCCCCCGCACCCCCAAACATCAACCCTGAATGCAATATGCTAGATACCCACTGATATTAGAGAGAACACAGGCCCATAATTTTGACTTCAGTTTTCCAAATTTTCCCATGTATTTTCTTCTGCTAGTCAGTTTTTGGTGGCTTTGACTGGAAAATATACTGTAACACCTTCTGAAAGTACACACAGATTTCTTGACAATCAAACAGTCATCACTGTATTTCGAGGCTTCTCTGTTTTAATGGCTTGTACCTGGTTGGGCTCACTGGGAATTTTGCAAGCTGATAAATACTTAATTCAGAAGCTGATTGCTTTGAGAGCAGTCTGACTGAAAACTTTAAATACATACCTTCCAAAGAATCTTTGTGTTTGATTGGGAAGGGTGCACTGTGCTTGCTATTGACAAAGTGAGGAGATATAATATCTGTCAAGTGCTATAGGGCTAAATTGAAAATTTGGTTCAGATTGGTACACGTGTATGGTAGATATTGTTTTATTTAATAGTTTATTAAACTTCTGATCGTTCTTTCTGGGAGACTTAGTATAGTATGTGAACTGTATGAACTGCTTCTCATACAGGTGACAGATGGAAACATCATATTTGGTATTGAACAGATTGAACACAGAGGCCAAAGAATTGAATAATGGACCAAAGATTGTACTTTTCAGTCAGGACTGAATCATGTGGACAGAGTCTAGTTAGGTATACAAAGATGCATTGAGCTGTATATCTTCTGATAAATGGAAGATGTGGTTCTAAATATTTTAAATGCAGTGTGTCTTGTAAACTCTAAACTGTTGTTCTTAAAGATTTTATTAAAAATTCCAGTTGGTGAGGAAATTAAGGGGTGTGATTGGTAGCCAGATCCTTAGCAGATTCAAAGCGACAGCAGTCCATTGGAAGTCAGTAGAACTACAATGGCTGATTCTGGCTGTGGCCTAGAATATTTCTAATGACATTAATCTGAATAATCATTTTATGCCATTCATCAGATTTTTTGTGGTGGTGGTTGTTATTGCGGGGGGAGGGGAGGAATGGGAAATTATTTCCCTCCCTTTTAAATCCATAGTCATGAATTCAAAAATGTAATCAACAAAACAATCTTTTAAACCCTGCCTTTATCCACAGACTGGGAGTCAGTTGACTCTAAGCAACTTTATTTAGTCTTTAGCTGAGCAGATTTGTAGGAGTTATTTATCACTGAAACCTTAGGGGAAATCATTATGTTCACTAGTGGGAGCTGAGATGCATTGGACACGCTGCAGTCTGGTTCGATGGAGATCGGCTGTTCTTTTCCTTTTTTCTTCTTTTCCAAAGCTGTTTGCTCTACACCTTTTATTCCAGTTGCAGACTATGAAAGATGTTCATGCTGTCAGACTCTAACTTGGAGATAACCTGGCTGAAAATAGTAGAAAATTAGGCATTTATAAGGCAGGAAGAATGTCTAATGAGGAAATTATCAAAATGAAGCCAATAATCTCCAGTCCTATGTTACCTTTTAAAATTGCATTTTTATTAAGAGTTTTAGCATACTTGATTGACTGTGCTTGGCTATATATACAGCACCACATACCAAGTAATTGGTAAGCAGTGTGTGTAAGAGTGATCATGTTCTCAGATTGTGAATTTAATCCGTGCTTGGAAGAAATGTCATGTAAAATACAGTCTCACAAATTTGGGAAATCTTTTCAAATAAGAAGACTTGTCTGCTATTATAGGGTCAAAAGGTTAAACAGTAATGATGCCTTAATGAAAGCTAATCTGAATTTACTGATGATTAATTTGAATCTATTTTGAGTCTAACCATCGGAGAGAAGAGAAAGGGGGGGTTGTTTTGTTTTCAATCGGATGTTGAAGCTCTACAGATGTCAGACTAAATAAAAAATACATTGTTATGTCACATTGCTTGTATTTACCTGCATGAAATGACGACATAGACCTTAGGGCAGCTTTAATTTACAACACAATAGTGCTAAAATGCTGTGATAAGTGTTTGTCATTTATCACTGTATAGCCTATCGACCTGGATATCCTCAAATTTCTTAAACTGGCAATTGTAAATCATATGGAGCCCTCTAGTGGTAGTTTCGTACATATTTATCATCATAGAAGTTTAAGGGACAGCGGAAAACCTGTGATGAATGTGCAGTTTGGGTTACTTTGTATGATGCAGCATAGCAGAGTGCAATCGATAATTCTACCTTAAATATGAGTCATCATCAGCTACACATTTTATCAACTTTTAAAGACTTGATGCACGTTTTTACATAGTGATTTATTGAGTCCTACTGAAAAAGCATATCAGGTGCAATTGATATTATATTAAACTATTTTTGTTCTTATTCTTTTATTAGGTGTACATTCCAAGCAGAGTGGCTATTGTACTTCAAAACCTGGATATACCAAACTAAAGATCTCCATGGGCATCACTACAGAAGCAAGAAGTTTAAAATAATGCAGTGACTACACTATGCTGCTCAAACACTGAATATCTCAGAAATTTGTACAATGGATGCTTTGTGGAATTAAATATAGTAATATTAAAGTGATACAAATGTAGGATTAATATTTACATATAATTACAGAGCTCTCAAGTACTAAAAGCTATTTTAAGGAGACTGTATGCAAAAGACAGAAAAAATCATCTTTGTAGTTCTGATAGTACAGAATTACAGTTTAAAGCATTCTAGAGCAGCTGGCATTCTCAATTGAGCTGTCGTTAATGGTGTTTTTTTCAGGAATAATGTTTTATGTGTATTACTGCTCTGATTTCAGCAATTTCTTTTAATCCTTCGTCATTTTGGTATTGAATTCAGATATTCATTATACACCACAGTCTCTTGTAAAGACAAAAAGTAAACAATATGTTAAAATACAGCTTCAGCTTGGAGAAAATGCAGCCATAAATGTTTGAGACACCCCATGTTGCAGTCTCCATTCCGCAGGGATTTCCAAGATGCATTACAGGTGTCACTTTTTTTTTTTTTTTTTTCAATCAAACCACTGATGAGAAAAAATCCAGTGAAAATAACATACATTGCCATTTTTATTTAATGAAAATTTCACAATGAGGTCTTTGGAGACAGGCTGAGACTAGAGTGACCTGAATTCTGTTTATAGCTCCACCGGTAATCTGTTGCATGGTTTGGCAAGTCGCTTCACCTGTGTGCTTCTGTCTTAGCATCTGAATAATGGAAATATTGCCAACTTTTATAAACCATTTTAAGATCTACAAATAAAAAGCTCTGTGTAGAAACTTAGTAGTAGTCATAGTGTGTGTGTACCCAGACACACACACACACACACACACACACACACACGAGAGAGAGAGAAAAAAAGAACAGCTTTCCTTTACATATATTTGCATAAACCTGAGGATTCTATAACCACTATTTTTACTGTTTCCAAAAGCTGCCATTGAACTTCAAGCACTTCTACTGTTGATCTTGCACTTTTTATCATTTAAAATTCTGCTTACCATGAAGAAACAGTATCAGCAAGACACATGTATATGTGTGTTTATATATACTGCTGGTAATGAAACTAAGCTTTTTGATAAGTTCAAGCTAGCTAATTTGGTGTACAGGCTAAAAGTGTTCAGGTGGCTCTTTGAATGTCATATTTTTGGTAAAGAATAAGATTCTTCATATTTGAAAAGTGTAACTACATATTATTCTGAAAAGGTCACAAAGAATTAGACAAATTATTTTGCTGTACTAATTTAAAAACACATATATGAGCTATGAATTTGTGTTGGCTCTAAAATGTGGTTTTATTTAGCTTTATAATTGATTCTAAATTACAGTTCTATGTTTTCTAACTTAATATTCATGAGGAAAAATGTCCATGACGCACGACAGGTTTTGTTTGTTTGTTTGTTTTGGGGGGGGGGGGGTTATTCATAGTTCTACTAATTAGCCATCTTCTATAGAAAGTGTTACATAAATTGCAGAATGCTTATGCCCATACTAAAAACCTTGCACAGGTTTTTAGTATTACTTACTCTCTTGGATCTGTAACATGGATATCTTTCTAAAGTAAAGAGTCAATTGGACAGGCTAATATCACATGATGGCAAATGCAGTCTTTTGATAGTTCTTTGATGCGCAGTCTTTTGATGATTTCACTTTAAAAAGAGTTCACGAAGATCACACAACTCATCTAATTGGACTCTTTGTAATAGATAAATTAGACAGTGCCCTATGCAATAGTGCTATTTAGTGGTACAATTCTTTTTTCCCCTTCATTGCCACTTCATTTGTTATTCAGTAACAGACTCTTAAAATATATACTGCTGCTTTTAAACAATATACTGAAGAGTTGCACCCACTGCAACAAAATACTGTTTTTAAAATTGTAAGCTCTGTAGTGAAGTAAAAAGCAATGTAATTATATGCTGTATTTTCATTATATTGATCAGCTAATATGTTCTGTAGATATTATGGGCTGAAGTTCCATGGTTCAAAAATATAATGCAAAGCAATTCCCCTTATCAAACTTTTTTGCAAGAGAAGCAATAAACGTGTGATGTGAAGTAGAAACTGTAATAATACGTTAAAATAAACTATGGGAAGGATAAAACAAATACACGTGGTTTTATCACTCCTGTAAAAAATAAAATAAAAGTGTAACAGTCTAATACTAGATATTATTTGTCAGTTTGAAATCGGATTTTACTATAGGAGTCGCACAAAAAAATCAGAAGTAGTTTGTTCCAATTATTTAATAAATATTTTTTTAAAAATATATATAGAAGATTACATTAAAAAAGCAATATTAAGAGTTTGTTAAAGTTGCATAGTTAGGTTGCCTTTACAGTGTTCACTTGGCTGCCTTGTGCTTGACTTTACAACTTTAGTCTTTCTTTTAACATTTTTTATCTCGTGTGATTTCTCTATTCAATTTCAGTCACAATAATAATGCGACTGAAATTGAACAGCGCATTCCATGAGTGTCTACTTCCCCCTGTTCCTATATCTCGTCTGCCACAACTTGATGTTACTGAAACAGCTGTCAGGAGATGGTACCCGACGATCCAAGGTTCATGGAGATGTTGTGGGTTCCAATAACTGCAAGTCATCTGTAGAGCTTCACCTCCTCTACACCCCACCCCTTTCCATGTAGGTGTTGTCGGTATCTGGTGTGGGCACCTGGTCTCATTAGGCTTGGCTTCTTAGGCAGATGGATCCACAAATGAAGATAAAGAAATACACAACTGTAACTCAGATAACACTGTTCATGCCTGCTTCTGGCCTCTTGTTGTCCCTGCAGCGTATGTCAGTTGCTTCAACCAAGGTAATTAGGGCTCTTCAGGGTTTACCTCCCTTCTGTGAGACAAGTCTAAGTGGGCTGGCCTGTCCCAGGCTGAGCCCCTTGGATACTCAGGAGCCAATGGTACCGTGAACCCCGATGTGTTTCCTGTGTGTACCTGACCTTCATTAGCTGAGGGATAGTCAGGGCTCCTCATGGAGAATTGATGGCTCTGTGGTCCTTGATCTGGATCCTGGGTTCTGGTGTGGAGATGTTGTGTAGCCAAGTGTCTATATTAGTGTTCCCCCATCATCTGAGGCTGTCACTCTTTTATACCAAAAGTTCTGGGTTGACCTAAGTCAACCCGGACCCCTGCTTGCCTCATGTGCCCTGCAATTGCTGCTAGGTGTTCAGAGTCTCAGAGGGACTCAGCTCCTGCAGCTGCAGCTCCTGGGCCCTAGAAGGTGTTGTCTGCTCTCACTGCCTGCTTGGCTGACTGAGCTCAGTTTTTGTGCAGAGCCCCAGCTCTGGCTCTCACTCTAGACAGGAAAGGGCCAGCTGTGAGCCCATTGCCTGCAGAGCACACCATCGGTCATTGCCCTGGTGAGTATGGGGCTTGGCTAGGTCACTGCTACGTTAACTCTAATCTCTAACGAATCTACACAAACTAAGGTTTTCAAAGGCATTTAAATTGTCATGGTACTAAGGCAGTATCACAGATTCTAAAATATTCTAAAACAAAATGGTTGTAACAAGTTTGGTTACCAAAACAAAATGTACTACATTGCTGTGGTACGTAGTTCAGGCTCACCTGCCTGCTTAGGATCCCTGACGGTATGGGGCCTAGGTGGGTCTTCCTGCTCAGAGTTCTTGACAGTGTGGGGTATTGAGAGGGGAAGGGATATGAGAAACCCGGATGAAGCACATATTTTATGCCAAATTAGGCTTTATATCCTTTGCTACTCCCATTATTTTCCTAGGAATGATAAAGGCAATAACTATTATATTTACTCGATTCCAAGACTAATTTTTATTTCCCACATTTAACATGGGTGGGGTGAGCCTCTTGTTTGGGAACTAAGTATGAGTATGAGGTTGGGCAGCTGTTGCAGCTCCAGATCTTGCCCCAACTCTATTGCTGTGGGGCCATGTTCTGATCCCCAGTGTCAGAGCATTGCTAAGGGTGGAGGGGAAAGGCGGGAAGAAGAGACTGTGGCAGGGGGGAGCAGGCTGTAGGGGCAGAAGTATCATGTGGGGGAGATGGGAAAGAAGAGTGGAGAGACAAGGATGTGCAGGGACCAAAAGTTACAGGGGGGGCAGATATGAGAGGCTGTAAGTTGGGCTGGGGGCCCCAACACCTCCCCCAACTGCTTCCCCCTGCATGCCCTACTGTGTACGCCCCTTACTGTCTCCTCTTCCTAAAATGAGCAGTAGTTAAAATTTTGAAAATTGAATAGTCTTTCTTGGGTTTCAGAATTAAGAACGAATTGGAAGTTAGTAGCTTTCATAACTTTCTCAGAGGGCTAGGAAACCCAGGCAAACAACACTGCATCTCCTTTGCAATTAGGTCATATTTTCAAGGGTTTTTTTAAAACATTATTTTGTGTTTGTAAAATCCTCTTTGATTGAAGTCCCTTTTCATGTCAGCAAACAGTTATCTAGATAAATTTTCAAGTAAAGGGTTTTTCTTTTTTTAGAATACATGCATCATGTGTAATAGAAGCACAAAGAATTTGTCTGTTGAGGGCAGCCTACATTAATTTTATCCCTGCTTTGTTCCAGACCCTTAACCAAGGTGTTTTGGGTCTTTCAGTCTCTTAGAATAGTGGCTAAGATATTCGAATGTATTTGTCCATTTTACTGCAATTGAATTCACTGGAAGTAAATGGACTGGGTGAAAGATCGGGGTTCTTATTTCATCTCAACTATGTGAAATCTTTGCCGTGAGAGAGGAGGGTTCTTCCTGATTTGTCTGGAAAACTCAACAGAAAACCAGTATTGCAACAAGAAGGGAAACTGACCCAAGAAAGATCTGAGGTATGGACGACTGGATGCCAGGATATCTTATAAGCCAGTAACTGTCAACTTTTCATCTTTCACATTAGAATGAAACCATCATTCACAATATGGAAGAAGTTCAATTTCAGTACAATGTATTTTTTTTTAACACTGAAAAACTGCAAAGTTCCTTGTAGTGGTTTTATTTTTATCTAGGTTCTTAAATACCCATCACAATATTACCCAAGAGCTTTCCAATTATTTAAAAATGAGAGGGAGAAAGAAAACATCCAGGTACTAAGAATAAATTGATTGATCCAATAACAGGTTGAAAGGTTGAGTGTATGAGAGAATGCATGAACAGAACACTTCATGTCCCACAATAAAAGTAACACGTTTGTTTGTTTATTTTTCAGTTTTGTCCCTACTCTGCTTCTTCTTATCTCTTCCTGTTCTATGGTGAAGGTTCAGACAGCTGGAAAAGTTGATTTGAACATGTAGGAGTCTTCTAATTGATTGATATTTCCATAGATCCCACAGGATATAGCTACCGCAAGAGGCAAATAGATGTAGTGAGATGGCCAATCCCTTGCATACCTAGAGCCATATGGAAAGCTCCGAAAGCAATCTTAACGCATTCCTCAGTGACCTACCTTGAAAACCAGTGCAATGCAGTAACATATTCATGGAAACTATCATTGCTTTACCTACATAGGTTCCTGATTTGGTATCAGTTGAAGGTTTTTTACATCCCTTTTGAATCATTGTTTATATAGAGACCTGCTTCCTAGGACAACGTATACATTTTTGGTCTGAGCATGGTCTTCTGTTTGTTTAGCATTTTATTAAAGCTCCTGAGACAAGGGCCATATCTTCAGGCAGGTCAGTTATCACTTGGATATCAATATGGAGTCCAGTGTGCTCATCTCAAGTCAAACCAGTGCCTTCTAAAGCTGAAAATCAGAACAGATATATACCAGATATGAACAGGAACTACAGGCCTGCAGCAGCCCATGGTTTCTGGAGACCAGGAGTACCCCAGTCATAGGTTAGGCACAAGGATCCAGGAAGAGAGAGCAGTTGCAGGCTAAATGTCAGAACTGCTTCCTCCCCCAGGATCATTTCTAGCAGTGGAAATTTGCCATCACCAGAAATGAACATTTGTATGCAGCTCTTGCCTAGTTACTTTGTCTTTTCTCCACTTTATATTTCACATCAGGATAACTACAGTATGCTAATTATCTTTCCAAAGGGAGGGAAGAACACTGTTGTGTTAGACACAGCCCCACATTCTGTCCTTTTGTCCCATAAAATGGATTTGGCCATTTGGCTATTAGTCCTGGCCTTGCTAGCATATGATTATAGCTCTAGAATAGGGTGAAAAACTTCACTACATGTTAACATAAGTAATTTTCACACTTAATTTGTCCTCATAAAAGTTTATCCAGTGTTTTGTTTTGTTGGGTTTTTTTAAAGGAATTTCCTTGAAGTTACTTCTTTCTGTTACAGAAAAGATGTGGAAAATTTAATTAACTGAAACGAAAGCATGCTCTGCATAGCTTTTGAAATTTTGTCCACTATTTTTGACAGTTTCTTTCATGTACTGACCCTTCCGTATGCTTCTGTTTTGTTACAGTGGTGTTAGGCCAAATATAAAGGTTTTTTTTTTTTCTTTTTTCCCATGTTTTATAACCTAAATACCAGGGACTCTCCTCTATGGTTGAGTTCAAACTTCCTAATGGGCAATATCTTTTATCTTTTTGCCTTCTGGAGGGTGGGGAAGGGGGGAGGAAGCTGGTAAATGTTGCTTCTTTAAGTCCATTTAAACTCCTGCCTTTTCAGTTCTACTAATCACTTAACAGTCTCTGAGGCATGTTTAGTAGGGGTGTGTGAAGTGGGCCATTTCCAATTCAGATTTGGGCCCAATTTGGAGGCAGTGATTCGATTTGTTGATTCAGATCACCGTCCCAATTCAATTCTTCCAAATCTGAATCTGAAGATTTGATTCTTATTCAGAGAACCAGCGATTTGGCCATAGGCACAGTTTTAAATGTTTTACTACGTACCTTGAGGTACCTGGCGTGGTTTGTGAATGCTGAGATGTTGGGGCAGATGGAGTGTCCCACAGGAGCCCACCCCAGACCCAGGAGGCACCAGTCGCTGAGGCAGGGGGGGTCTCCCACGTCCTCCACGGTGGACCTGGAAATGGACCAGAAGCACTTCCAGTCCACTTACGGGTCTGCCGCCAAGTGTGCTGGAGACACCCCCCCCCCCCCCCCCCCGTGCTCCTGTGGATTGCTCCATCTGCCCAACCATGTCAATGTTCACAAGCGGCCTGGTACATTGAGGTATATAGAAAAAACATATAAAGCTGTGTCCATGTCCGAATCATCGA